CTACAAAATGTAAATGAAAAGACACTCATTTGAGTACCAGGAAGGGGATGAACAGTAACAGCCACTTCTAGCCAAGAAGAGATTAAAAACTTATGTATTTCTCTGTTTAGTTTTGTTTGTTTTTTTTGTGATTTTTGTATCGCTAATGGGTGTCCAATTTTTATATTTTCTAAATCTCGTCACCCTAGACACATGGAAGGTTGATAGGGGGCATAGGGACACATGGAGGACTGGGAGAGAGGGCTAATAGGACATATGTGGGGGCTACTGGATTATATGCAAATGCACGTCTGCGTCTGCTTACAATAAATCTGCTCTGCTTTATTTTGAAGCCCTATAAGTGCTTTCTTTCATGTTTGAGTGCTAGTTTTCAGTTTTTTTCCTGCTTCCATATCTGCGCACTATGCTGGCGCGATGCATTACGGGGCTGGTATGGAATTTTTTTCCAGGGCTGCTTTTCATTCCCAGTCCGGCCCTGCCTGCTTACATCATTGCAGCATGGCCATGCAGACTGCGGTGGAAGATTTTCTGTATCCTCTGCCTGGTCTGACTTGAAGCTGTTAGTTGCTTTCAGTGAGAACAGGTAGTGGCTACAGAAGATTGTCTACCTTGGTCCACTCATCCATGCTAAGTGGAGCGACTGACAGGGGAGTGCTTTACGCTTTGCGCTGTCCTCCTGTTGGAATAGGAATAGGAAGACTTGTTTTGGACCAACCAGGACTTGGCAAGAGAAGTGACTAGGTATGTGCATGGCAAAAATATTTGGTTCGGTTCGGCATTCCGAAATTCTGGACTTTGGCACTTCAGAACTTCGGGACTTGGGGTAAGGGTAGGGTTAGGTTAGGGGTAGGGTAGGGGTAGAGTTAGGGTTGGGGTAGGGGTAGGGTTAGAGGTAGGGTTAGGAGTAGGGTTAGGATTTGGTTAGGGGTAGTGTTAGGGTAGGGTTAGACGTAGGGTAAGGGTGGAGTTAGAAGCAGGGTTAGGGTTAGGTTAGGAGTAGGGTTAGGGGTAGGAAACAAATTAAGAATGTAGCGCTTATATGTAAAGAAATTAATCACCTTTTGGATGTTGGAGAAAGAATATCACTTAAAAATCGGCACGAAAAGATGCCTAAAAAAGATAATCATATATAGTATAGATCACACTTATAAACATTGGTTATTAATGTATAGTAAATGAACTCACAAACGGAGAGCTATCAACTTAGCTCTAGTTTAAATAGCTTCTGGGTCTATATAGGTGACCCAAACCCTTCTCACGATGTATTCCTGAGGTCTGTGAATAAATGGAAATATACAAAATTGTGCAATATCGTTTGTAATATCCCAGAGCAAATATATATAATCTTTAAGTGGGTACTCACAAGGATGGAGTCAAAATATATTGACTCAATATTATCGCTTTGTGCAAATTCGGGACTGCACTCCCCATTCAATATAACGATATCAGGAACCAGGATTATTCAAAAATAGAAACAGTAATTTATTTAAATACACTCTTATACATAAATGAAATAGCCACAATGAGCTTAAAAAAAATACCGGGACGCGTTTCGCCACTACCGACGTGGCTTCTTCAAACCGGATTGTGAAGAAACAGCAATAATCCTGGAACTCCTCTTCTTTAGTTTAAATATGTACAAAAACGGCGGGCAAATCCCACAGTACCTTAACCGTCACATGTCGGTACCACCCACCGGTGCGGCGTGTGCGGTCCATGCCTCCCTTTCATGTTGATATCGGGAGCGAAGACGCTTGTATTCTTTCTGGTCACTCCAATTCGTCTTAGTTTTCCAATAGCTGATATACACCTTAGCGGTTCATCATTTATTATCAAAATCAAGTCCTCTAATGTCCCCATAAGTCCGTCTGACATAGAATGATATTTATTCTCATATATATAAAAGGAAAGAGAAAGAAATAGGAACAAGAAAACAAAAAAAACAGCATCAGTTTTCCTATTGTTATAAATGCTTCAATCGCTTTCATTTGTAGCATTTTCGATTTACCAATTCTAGTTCATGGTTATACTGTAATCGATACATTATCAGTCTGAGTTGTTCATCAACATTTTAACATTTCGATTTAGATACAATCAATAAGGTTAGGCAGGGCAAATCCCAAATAACATTATAATACTATTATATATCCCCTCTCTTTTCTTGAATATTATAACTCTTTTTGTGTTATATTTCACGTTAATTCATAAATTGTTTTCTAAGACACAAATTTATTAGCTGATATACAGGGGATTAAGATATTACCAAATAGTCATGATAAAAACAATTATGATTATAATTATTTGAACCCCAATTTAATCAGCAATATTAACGGGGTCATTCTCTAATCCTTTTTATATCCTTGTTAACGGATTATTATGAATGAATTATTTAAACGAAATGATCTTCAAGTCTGTTTGTACTGATATCACTATATATAAATTGTGCATGTCTATTGTACAATTATTTAAACGAAATGATCTTCAAATCTGTTTTTACTGATACCACTATATATAAATTGTGCATGTCTATTGTACAATCACTATTAAAAACCAATACGGAATACATAGTATATATACAAATATCATACACAAAGTATACTATATCCAACTACATATGCTACCACATCTAAGACTTACAAAGGGTTAATATAAATAGTAATCTAAAAAAAAAAGGGCATATATAAATATTAATCTAAAAAATCTAAAAGGAATTCATAAAAAATGGCATAGCTCGAAATCCGCGTTGAGGCCATATGGGATTAACGTATTTAATCTAAAGATCCATTCCATCTCCCGTTTACCTAAATCTCTTACAAAATCCCCCCCTCTCCAATTCTTGTTTATTTTATTTATCCCCATGAATTGTAAACCCTCTGGTTTTTGGTCATGGCATAATTTGAAATGACTAGAGACACTATGCTGCTCGAAACCTGTCTGGATTTTATATATGTGTTCTTTAATCCTAATGTGTAGTGGTCTGGTTGTCCTCCCCACATATTTCAGTCCACATGGACAAATTAAAAGGTACACTACATTTTTAGTATAACATGTTATGAATTGCTTGATTTGGATTTTTTTGTCATTGTTCGATGTTATATCTTTTATTATTCTTCGTTTACATCCTGACTTTTTGCAGGCAGAACACTGACCACAACCATAAAATCCCTTCTCGTTGTTGAATATAGTGGAGGTATGATTTTGTTCTTTTAGAGAGCTCCGTACCAGGGTATTCCTCAAATTTCTTGCACCTCTATAAATAATCCTAGGTTTTGCAGGGAGAATTTGTTTCAGTGCTGGATCCTGCAATAGGATCGGCCAATACTTATTAATAATTCGGTTTATTTGATAGTTGTTATTATTGTAGTTGCAAATGAAGGGAATGTCCTGTAAATTAGTAGTAGTTTTAGTTTTATATACTAATAAATCCTTTCTCTCTCTATTTCTTATTTCATTTCTTGATTTCTCTAGTTTTTCTACATCATAACCCTTCACAACAAAATCGGTTTTGATCCTCGATGATTGTTCATCATAGACTTCCAAATCGCTGCAATTACGTCTAATTCTAAGGAATTGTCCCTTAGGGGCATTTTCCAGCCATGGGGAGTGGTGGCAGCTAATGCTTTCTATAAAGCTATTGCAGTCAACTTTTTTAAAATGGTTTTTGGTTTTGATTTTACCTTCTTCAATAAAAATGTCAAGATCTAAAAAAGTTACTATTTCTTTACTCCAGGTACTGCTTAGCCTGATACCCCAATCATTGGTATTAAGAAATTCTAAAAAGGAGACTAAGTCGCTTTCTTCTCCCCTCCAAATCAATAAAATATCATCGATATATCGGCCATAAAAGGCTAAGTTTTCCCCCCAGCTATGTCCCTCGTAAACGTAGGATTCTTCCCAAAAAGACATAAATAGGTTTGCATAGCTGGGGGCAAACTTTGTCCCCATAGCTGTCCCATTAGTTTGTAGGAAGAAGGTATCATTGTACCAAAAAAAATTGTTATTCAAAATAAGTTTTATTCCTTCCACTATGTATTCTATCTGTTCTTGTTTAAATTCTTTTGATTCCATTAAAAAATGTTCCGCTGCTCTACATCCATAGGAATGAGGAATGTTACTGTAAAGGGCTGCCACATCACAAGTGGCTAAAATGCAGTTATTGTCCCAAGGCATGCCTTCCAAAATTTGTAAAACTGTGATAGTATCCTTAATGTATGATCTAGTTTTCTGGACTAAAGGTTGTAATTGAACATCTATATACTGTGAAAGTCTGCTTGAAATGGAATCTATACCCGCTATAATGGGTCTTCCTGGAGGTTTTTCTATGTTTTTATGAACTTTAGGTAGAAAATAAAAAACTGGTATTTTGGGGAATTTAATATTTAAGAACTGGAATTCTTTTAAACTTAAAATATTCTCATTAAACCCTTTATTAAAAAAAGTTAAAAAAAGGGAATTGATACTATCGCTTGGGTTCATCCTTAATTGTTGATAGGTGTTAGAATCCTTTAAAATATTATTTGCTTCTATATCGTAAAACTGTTTGGACATAAGCACTATCCCCCCTCCCTTATCTGCCGGTTTAATGACTAAATTTTTATCTGTTTGGAGGTCTTTAAGAGCCTTCTTTTCCAGCATTGTTAAATTGTCTTTAAACTTATCTTTAGGGATGATTTTATTCATTTCTGTTGTAACCATAGTTTCAAATGTTATTATTTCGTCTGATAGCATTTGTTTGGGGTAGAAGGAGGATTTGTTCTTAAGGGAAGTATGTTTGAACCCGGACTCATCCTCTATATTTATATTTTGGTTAATTTGTTCCCTATTGAGCGGGTCTCCCAAAAAGAATTTTTTTAAACATAAACTACGTTTAAAACGATTCAAATCTATATACATATCGAAGTGATTTAAGCCTGTACTAGGGGCAAATTTTAACCCTTTATTAAGTACTGATTTATGGTAGTTATCCAGAGTTTTATCACTTAAATTAAAGATGCCTTTTATTAATTCCGTAGATTCAGATCCCTTCTTTTTGATCTGTATTCGCTTTCCTCCCCTTGTTCCTCTATATCTGAGGCTCTTCTTTTTCTGGAATTGATTGAAATATTTTGCTCTTGGTCTAACTTGTGTCTGTCTTTGGTTTTTAACTGTCGAAAAACCTCTTCTTCTCTATAGTCTGACAGAGTTTCATATCTATTATGAGTGGGGATTCTTTCTTGATTACTCTGGTATTGCCTATATGGTCTCTGTTCTCTATAATTCTGAAAATCTTTCCTATTCCTATAATTTCTTTCTCCTTCTGAATTCCTCCCTATATTAGTATGATTGTAATTATCCCTAGTATTATTTGATCTTGGTCTCCACTTTTCTCTTGTTTCATTGTGAAAAAATCTCCTAGGGTATTTGAATTGATCATAATTCTCCTTATATGTTTTATTTATATGTTCTTCATTGTTTTCCTCTAAAGGATAATTTTGCCTTAATCCCATAGAGCTAGCCTGTTGGGGCACTTGATATTTTTGGGCATATTTGGAAAAAGATCTGACTTGTTTTAATTCATAATCCTGTACATCTCTGAGATATTTATTCTTTTTCACTCCTATAACCTCTACCTCAAGTTTATCTAAATTTCTCTCAATGTGGGAGGTGATGTTTTCAAATTGCTCCTCATTAGTGGAGTTAAGTAAAATATCTTGGCATTTATTTATCTCTTTGTCTAACTCTTTTAAATTTTCTTTCCTTCTTTTGATAATTAGATGCATACTGGTAAAAGAAAAACCTTCTAACATTTCGTTCCATTCTTCCATAAAGTTGTCATTGTCCCTGTCAAAAGTGGGAGTTTTAAAATATCTTAACCCCCTAGGGGTAATTTTCTCCTGAATGTATTTCTCTAAAGTTGCTATTTCCCATTTTATTTTTAATTCCTTTTCTAAATGTTTTTCCAATTCATTACTAGTCTTAGTTTTAATAGTTGATGGTCTTATACTATTTTTATTTGACCAATTTGCTAATTCTTGCTCCATATTAGCATAAATATTTTTTCTTTTGTCAAATAATGACATATTATAGAAATTAGCTGCTAGGTTACCTTAAATTAGACGGAAAAGACTAAAAATTAAACAATAGATATAGACAATGGAACCAGCGCTTGTATACAACAATAAATGTGAGGTACAAATGTAACTTATAGTGATAGATAGCTGCCAAACATTCAGAGATTCCTATTAACTAAAGGCACAAAACAAATTAAGAATGTAGCGCTTATGTGTAAAGAAATTAATCACCTTTTAGATGTTGGAGAAAGAATATCACTTAAAAATCGGCACGAAAAGATGCCTAAAAAAGATAATCATATATAGTATAGATCACACTTATAAACATTGGTTATTAATGTATAGTAAATGAACTCACAAACGGAGAGCTATCAACTTAGCTCTAGTTTAAATAGCTTCTGGGTCTATATAGGTGACCCAAACCCTTCTCACGATGTATTCCTGAGGTCTGTGAATAAATGGAAATATACAAAATTGTGCAATATCGTTTGTAATATCCCAGAGCAAATATATATAATCTTTAAGTGGGTACTCACAAGGATGGAGTCAAAATATATTGACTCAATATTATCGCTTTGTGCAAATTCGGGACTGCACTCCCCATTCAATATAACGATATCAGGAACCAGGATTATTCAAAAATAAAAACAGTAATTTATTTAAATACACTCTTATACATAAATGAAATAGCCACAATGAGCTTAAAAAAAAAATACCGGGACGCGTTTCGCCACTACCGACGTGGCTTCTTCAAACCGGATTGTGAAGAAACAGCAATAATCCTGGAACTCCTCTTCTTTAGTTTAAATATGTACAAAAACGGCGGGCAAATCCCACAGTACCTTAACCGTCACATGTCGGTACCACCCACCGGTGCGGCGTGTGCGGTCCATGCCTCCCTTTCATGTTGATATCGGGAGCGAAGACGCTTGTATTCTTTCTGGTCACTCCAATTCGTCTTAGTTTTCCAATAGCTGATATACACCTTAGCGGTTCATCATTTATTATCAAAATCAAGTCCTCTAATGTCCCCATAAGTCCGTCTGACATAGAATGATATTTATTCTCATATATATAAAAGGAAAGAGAAAGAAATAGGAACAAGAAAACAAAAAAAACAGCATCAGTTTTCCTATTGTTATAAATGCTTCAATCGCTTTTATTTGTAGCATTTTCGATTTACCAATTCTAGTTCATGGTTATACTGTAATCGATACATTATCAGTCTGAGTTGTTCATCAACATTTTAACATTTCGATTTAGATACAATCAATAAGGTTAGGCAGGGCAAATCCCAAATAACATTATAATACTATTATATATCCCCTCTCTTTTCTTGAATATTATAACTCTTTTTGTGTTATATTTCACGTTAATTCATAAATTGTTTTCTAAGACACAAATTTATTAGCTGATATACAGGGGATTAAGATATTACCAAATAGTCATGATAAAAACAATTATGATTATAATTATTTGAACCCCAATTTAATCAGCAATATTAACGGGGTCATTCTCTAATCCTTTTTATATCCTTGTTAACGGATTATTATGAATGAATTATTTAAACGAAATGATCTTCAAGTCTGTTTGTACTGATATCACTATATATAAATTGTGCATGTCTATTGTACAATTATTTAAACGAAATGATCTTCAAATCTATTTTTACTGATACCACTATATATAAATTGTGCATGTCTATTGTACAATCACTATTAAAAACCAATACGGAATACATAGTATATATACAAATATCATACACAAAGTATACTATATCCAACTACATATGCTACCACATCTAAGACTTACAAAGGGTTAATATAAATAGTAATCTAAAAAAAAAGGGCATATATAAATATTAATCTAAAAAATCTAAAAGGAATTCCCATTACAGCAACATTCCTCATTCCTATGGATGTAGAGCAGCGGAACATTTTTTAATGGAATCAAAAGAATTTAAACAAGAACAGATAGAATACATAGTGGAAGGAATAAAACTTATTTTGAATAACAATTTTTTTTGGTACAATGATACCTTCTTCCTACAAACTAATGGGACAGCTATGGGGACAAAGTTTGCCCCCAGCTATGCAAACCTATTTATGTCTTTTTGGGAAGAATCCTACGTTTACGAGGGACATAGCTGGGGGGAAAACTTAGCCTTTTATGGCCGATATATCGATGATATTTTATTGATTTGGAGGGGAGAAGAAAGCGACTTAGTCTCCTTTTTAGAATTTCTTAATACCAATGATTGGGGTATCAGGCTAAGCAGTACCTGGAGTAAAGAAATAGTAACTTTTTTAGATCTTGACATTTTTATTGAAGAAGGTAAAATCAAAACCAAAAACCATTTTAAAAAAGTTGACTGCAATAGCTTTATAGAAAGCATTAGCTGCCACCACTCCCCATGGCTGGAAAATGCCCCTAAGGGACAATTCCTTAGAATTAGACGTAATTGCAGCGATTTGGAAGTCTATGATGAACAATCATCGAGGATCAAAACCGATTTTGTTGTGAAGGGTTATGATGTAGAAAAACTAGAGAAATCAAGAAATGAAATAAGAAATAGAGAGAGAAAGGATTTATTAGTATATAAAACTAAAACTACTACTAATTTACAGGACATTCCCTTCATTTGCAACTACAATAATAACAACTATCAAATAAACCGAATTATTAATAAGTATTGGCCGATCCTATTGCAGGATCCAGCACTGAAACAAATTCTCCCTGCAAAACCTAGGATTATTTATAGAGGTGCAAGAAATTTGAGGAATACCCTGGTACGGAGCTCTCTAAAAGAACAAAATCATACCTCCACTATATTCAATAACGAGAAGGGATTTTATGGTTGTGGTCAGTGTTCTGCCTGCAAAAAGTCAGGATGTAAACGAAGAATAATAAAAGATATAACATCGAACAATGACAAAAAAATCCAAATCAAGCAATTCATAACATGTTATACTAAAAATGTAGTGTACCTTTTAATTTGTCCATGTGGACTGAAATATGTGGGGAGGACAACCAGACCACTACACATTAGGATTAAAGAACACATATATAAAATCCAGACAGGTTTCGAGCAGCATAGTGTCTCTAGTCATTTCAAATTATGCCATGACCAAAAACCAGAGGGTTTACAATTCATGGGGATAAATAAAATAAACAAGAATTGGAGAGGGGGGGATTTTGTAAGAGATTTAGGTAAACGGGAGATGGAATGGATCTTTAGATTAAATACGTTAATCCCATATGGCCTCAACGCGGATTTCGAGCTATGCCATTTTTTATGAATTCCTTTTAGATTTTTTAGATTAATATTTATATATGCCCTTTTTTTTTAGATTACTATTTATATTAACCCTTTGTAAGTCTTAGATGTGGTAGCATATGTAGTTGGATATAGTATACTTTGTGTATGATATTTGTATATATACTATGTATTCCGTATTGGTTTTTAATAGTGATTGTACAATAGACATGCACAATTTATATATAGTGGTATCAGTAAAAACAGATTTGAAGATCATTTCGTTTAAATAATTGTACAATAGACATGCACAATTTATATATAGTGATATCAGTACAAACAGACTTGAAGATCATTTCGTTTAAATAATTCATTCATAATAATCCGTTAACAAGGATATAAAAAGGATTAGAGAATGACCCCGTTAATATTGCTGATTAAATTGGGGTTCAAATAATTATAATCATAATTGTTTTTATCATGACTATTTGGTAATATCTTAATCCCCTGTATATCAGCTAATAAATTTGTGTCTTAGAAAACAATTTATGAATTAACGTGAAATATAACACAAAAAGAGTTATAATATTCAAGAAAAGAGAGGGGATATATAATAGTATTATAATGTTATTTGGGATTTGCCCTGCCTAACCTTATTGATTGTATCTAAATCGAAATGTTAAAATGTTGATGAACAACTCAGACTGATAATGTATCGATTACAGTATAACCATGAACTAGAATTGGTAAATCGAAAATGCTACAAATGAAAGCGATTGAAGCATTTATAACAATAGGAAAACTGATGCTGTTTTTTTTGTTTTCTTGTTCCTATTTCTTTCTCTTTCCTTTTATATATATGAGAATAAATATCATTCTATGTCAGACGGACTTATGGGGACATTAGAGGACTTGATTTTGATAATAAATGATGAACCGCTAAGGTGTATATCAGCTATTGGAAAACTAAGACGAATTGGAGTGACCAGAAAGAATACAAGCGTCTTCGCTCCCGATATCAACATGAAAGGGAGGCATGGACCGCACACGCCGCACCGGTGGGTGGTACCGACATGTGACGGTTAAGGTACTGTGGGATTTGCCCGCCGTTTTTGTACATATTTAAACTAAAGAAGAGGAGTTCCAGGATTATTGCTGTTTCTTCACAATCCGGTTTGAAGAAGCCACGTCGGTAGTGGCGAAACGCGTCCCGGTATTTTTTTTTTAAGCTCATTGTGGCTATTTCATTTATGTATAAGAGTGTATTTAAATAAATTACTGTTTTTATTTTTGAATAATCCTGGTTCCTGATATCGTTATATTGAATGGGGAGTGCAGTCCCGAATTTGCACAAAGCGATAATATTGAGTCAATATATTTTGACTCCATCCTTGTGAGTACCCACTTAAAGATTATATATATTTGCTCTGGGATATTACAAACGATATTGCAC